GCCTTTTGTTGCAGGGTGGAGAGGGGACTCTGTATGCAGTATCAAATGTCTCCTTGTAAACAGGTACAGATGACATCCAAAAGAAGCATTTCTTTGAGGGACAGAGCCTGTCCCAAAGAATATGCTACCTTTCTGAGTTTCTCTCTGACTATACTCCTCATCTCTATTAACCCCACCCATACCCCTTATTTGCTGTTCGTTGTATTTTCTTCTACGATTTTGATTCTTGCTTTGTTCGCCACTTGAACTGTCCTTTCCAGCTCTTCCAGAGAAGCCTTTACCAACCCCTCACCTAGAAGTTACTTTTCCTTCTGCATCCCTCAGCAAGCTGAATGTTTCTTATACTAATGCATAAACTGCCTACTCTACATTGAGCCACAGTTTCCAGGGTTTTTTCTGTTTCTTAAACTTTGTATTCCTGCCAACCCCAAGTATTGTAAATACCATCTGAGTAGAACAAGGTTTGAACAAAACAATCAGCCTCATTCAAAAAGACTGGAGTTGGTCAGAACTGTCCTTACATTTTAGAAAAGTAGTTTAAGACAGAAAGAATATGGACAGGAAAAAGACTAAGAAATACACCTTAGAGTTACAATATAGTCATAGGGCTGTAAAGTACAGCATAGGGAATATAGTCAACAACACTGTAACAACTATGTGTGGGGCCAGGTGGGTACTGGAAACATCAGGGGGATCACTTCGTAAAGTATATAACTGTCTAACCACTATGCTGTACACTTGAAACTAATACAAAAATAATATTGAATGTAAACTGTGATTTTAAAAAATAGTCCTTAGATTATCTGGAGGAATAACTATTATACGTGAACACCCCAAAGCAGATATGCCTTCATGATTTCATGTAATCCTCCCTCTACAAACAAACTAAAAGCTAGGGTACAGAATCCTAAAGGAAATCTATGCAGGAAACCAGCTGTTGTTTCTCATCACATCTGTAATAAAGAGTCTGTGGGGAAAAGTCTTTTGACATTCTCTACATCTGCAGTAAGAGCCAAGCTTCCACCTGAAAGAACTATCTACCATATCTCTAGTGTATCACTTTGGCAAAATATAAAACCCCAGCAAAGTTATACTCTCCCTGGGACAATGCATTCTGTCTCAACAAGAAGGAAATGAAAAGACTTCAAAGACCCTAGTTAACAGCAAATTAACATCTTAATCCTAGTAGAGACTATGCCCTGTTGGGATTTCCCAGGAAAGATTAAATTAGGCTGGAGTTTTTTTGTGGGGGTTTTTTTTTTTAAACATGAGGAGCTAACAATTAGTATTAAAGATATATCTAGTAATGACAGAGACCAGTCTCATTCAGAAAAAAAAAAGATCTAGGTAAGCTTAAATTCATTCAGAAAAGCTAATGCTATGCTTAAGCAAAGGCAAACATTAAATCAAATTCACATATTCCCAGTGACCCCTACCTAATAGTCATCGATCACGGCATTTCTAAGACAAAGCCCCAGAATTCTCTGACGCTTCTCCCGTCAGAGGTGCGGGTCCCTTCCCTGGGATCACGAATCTGTGACTGGTTGAACAACAGAATGTAGAAGTGACACTGTCAATATCTAGACCCAGACCTTAAGAACTGACAGTTTCCATTTCCTATCTTTTGGGATGCTCATTGCTGGAACCCAGCCGCCATGCCGAGGGGAAGCCCAAGCAGCTGCTGGAGGGCTACGTGTAGAGACACCAAGAACCAGAACCAATCTGCCAGGCGTGGGATTGAGCCATCTTGGAAATAGATCCACCATCCCCAGTCAAAATACCCCACATATGAGGAATAAACTAAACACTAGCTAACACCACATAAGCAGAAATGACTGAACTTGCCGAGCTCCGCAAACTGTGGTTTCCTAAGCAAAGAAAATGGCTGTTATTGTTTTAAGCCTCTAAGTTTTGGGATGGTTTGTTATACAATAGATAAATGGAACATTAATTTTTTTATGTTCTTTAAAGGAAAAACTTATTAGTAAAAAATAGCTAGCCAATTGCCCCTTGATTTACCACCTGATGTTACTTGTGAGAGGTAGGGTAGCACAATGGTTAAGAACACAGACTTTGGGATTAGATGACCAGGGTTCGAATACTGACACATCACTAATCTCTCTGTGCTTTTGTTTCTTTATCTGTAAAAGGAAGACAATAGCCTCCTATGCTATTAGGATTAAGGAAGGCTGTCTGAAAGGAAGCTATCTTAAAGCAAAGAGGTAGTAAAGAAGAGAAAGTAAAAATATAGTTTAAAAACAGTAAGAGCAGGGGATCTTAGAAGCAAGGAGAGGGAAAACAGGAATGTTGACACAGGAAACCAGGGAGAGGCCTGGAAGGAGGGGGCTGCTAGCAGATCGGACACCAAATGAGACTGGGTTCTACAGATCATGAAGAGCCAGCCAGAAACTGGCTTCTTTGGCGTCAGCAGCTCTAAACATTCCAGAAACTTCAGCAGGAAATTGGGCTAAGCAACAGGGCAGTGCCTACAGGAGTACAATCTCCCTTCTAACTCCAAGGCCCTCAAACACCCTCAGAAAACTGAATGAAGTTTACCTTTATTCAAGTAGGCCCATCGGTCCCTCCCTCATACATAGAAGTGCCCCCTCAACTCACATCTTCTAACTTAACTGCTGATGCCTGAAATTCTTTTAAACAAGGAGAGAAAACATTTTCATTCCACATTTAGAGGAAAAAAATGACAAAAATGCAAAGGTATGGCAAAGACAATACTGAGCTTAACTAAGCTTCAGTTAACTACCCTCCCAAGTAGGGCACAGTCCAGTGTCTCTGGAAGAGGAGGGAGGAATTAACTAATGATTTATTGAAGCCTACAGACCACAGATAGTAAATGGATTTAAATTTAATCAATATTTACTGAATGAGATAAGAAACAAACATAAGTATGCCATCTATCAGACACCTTCCCTGTGTTCACAGAGGAAGAATTTAAAGATTTTATTTATTTATTTTTTTAGAGAGAGGGGGATGAAGAGAGAAAGAGGGGGAGAGAAACATTAATATGAGAGAGAAAGATCGATCAGTTATCTCTAGTATGCGTCCAGACCAGGGAAGGAACCAAACTCTCAATCCAGGCATGTGCCCTGACCGGGAATTGAACCAGCAACGTTTTGCTCTGCAGGACAATGCCCAACTAACTGAACCAAATAGTCAGGGCCACAGAGAGAGAGTTTAAAAACAGGAGAGCATCAGGTCACCATCAACCAGAGAAAAAGGTCATAGAAAACAAAAAAGGAAAAGAACTAAGGTTACAGAAGCAGAAAAACTATAGATTTCAGCACTAATTAGAATCATGTTTACTGTCCCAGGAAGACGAACAAGAAGCAATATAGATGAGTCATTAACATCACAGATCCTGGAGCCAGACTGCCAGCACTTAAACCCTAATTTTGTCTTTATGAGTTATGTGACAGTGGGTAAGTGATTTCTCTGTGCCTTGGCGTCCTCATCCCTAAAATGAGTAACTGCACCTATTTCATTAGGTTATAGTGAGAATCAAATGAGTTAATACAAGCAAAATGTTTAGAACAGTACCTGGCACATAGTAAGTACTATTTAAATATTAATTGCAACTATTATTACTATGATTATTCTTCTTATGGTCTGAGATATCTGACCTAAATCTATCAACTCAGGAAGTCCTACCATTATAACGAAGTCACTTGTTCTCAGGAGATTCACTAATGGAAGTATTTTTGTAAAGAAGAGACATAAACAAAGAAGGAGTATGTTGGTATAGAAAACTCATGATTCTTTGGGGAATAATTTAATATACTTTAGGGCACTAGACTCCTTATTTCTCTCTCTCTCTCTCTCGGTTGGTATTTTTCTGGTTATTAAGTCATTATTTATAATTTAAGGGATGAGAGGAAGTCTCAAAAATGAGAGAAAATATAACCAGTACATTCTGATAACGGCTGACAGTTTAAATGCCTTGGCTGGCAAAGAACACAGCAACATTTGCTTAGATAACACATTCAGATGTTATTCATGCCTTATATGACCAGGGACTGAGAGGAAGAGGAACTTGAAACAAGCCTTCACAATAAATTCTCATGATCTCAAGAGTTAAAACTTAGAAGAGAGTTTGCTACACTATGAGTATGGTGAACATCAGGCAAGCTTTACTTTTCTAAATCAAAACTGGGCTTCGAAAAAAACAAAAACAAAAACAAAAAAAAACAAAAAACTGGGCTTCGGTTTCTAGGAAGAGCTAATTAGAAATATGACCATAGAGAGTACATCTCAGACAAGCTGAAACCACAAAGATAAAATTTTTCTAATACAGGAATAAATGGACAAAGAAATAGAATTAATGGTTATAGAGATTGTTTTCAGTTTTATTTATAGAGAATTACATACACAGTATGTTTACACCAATAAGCTGTCTCTCATAGAGACTGCTCTTACTGATTCACAAAGGAAAAAAAAGTTCTGGGCCTCTGAATTTTTAAGGTTGACTTTTGAGAGGTATTCTATTTACCTCTATGTACCAAGAAGAAAAGAGATTTAAACATGAGTACGTACTATGTATTTAACATACGCAAGGCATTTTATACACATTATCTCAGTTAATCTTCATAATAAGCCTAAGAATACTTACGAGTATAAGAAAGCTAAAGCAGCCCTGGCTAGTGTGGCTTAGTGGACTGAGCGCCAGCCTGCAAACCAACAGGTCACCAGTTCAATTCCCAGTCAGGGCACATGCCTGGGTTGTGGGCTAGGTCCCCAGTTGGGGGCATATGAGAAGCAACCACACACTGATGTTTCTCTCCCTCTTTCTCCCACCTCTCCCTCTCTCTAAAAATAAATAAATAAAATCTTTAAAAAAAAAGAAAAGAAAACTGAAGCAAAGAGAATTAAAGAGTACCACTGCCTATAAATGATAGAATAACATCAGGGTGATTCTGAATCCAAAGCTTAGGTATGCTCTACACTTCATTATACTGCCTAAGACAGATATTTTAATATCTACTTGCCTGAATGTTAACGTCTGCCCACAGAAATAGGTTGGAGCGCTGGAGTAGAGAACACCTGAGGATTCCGAATCATTCCGGAGTGCTATATTTCTTCGACTGCTCAGGCTGTACCCCTCAAAGCCAGCTGTCCACTCTTTTTAAAAAGCAAAGACATTGAAAATTATTAGTATCTTTTCAGGACTACCTTCAGTACAGACACATTAAATAAAGCTTGGAAGTGGAAGAGACTACTCTTAGGGATCGTGAGCAAGTTCAATAAAAGGTAAGATTCTTCCATGACAGGGCATTATGGTTAATCCTACCAAAAAAACCCAAAAACACCTTTTAGTCTATTATTATACAATTTTGACATGGAAGAGCAAATAAGTGTTATTGCCTATCTAACAAAATCTTGTTTGAGCTTATTCCAACCTGATTAAGAATTAATTAACAAATGAGTCAAAATCTGTTAAACAGAAGAGATCAATTTCAAATCATACAACTTTGAGAAAAAGCCTCGACCTAGATATGTATTGAAAGTTTGGATCAAATATTGCAGCTGCAATATTTAAAATCTGTGGTTTTAGGGGATGCGATGAATCCTGTGTGGCACTATCTTGGACTCTGGAAATAAGAGCTGTTGAAAATTTTGCAAAATTCACATGACATAATTTAAGCAGGAGGTAAAAGACATGTTCCATGTTGGTCTCATCAATTCAGGGTTTCTCCTTGGAATAAGAGGTTTGTCAGTGTGCTGCCTGTAGCACAAAATACAAGTGTTCTTATACACAGTTAAGCTTCAGGAGTGAGAAGCAACAGCATACCATGAGGCACCAATGTGGAATGACCTATCTGGGGGACGCTCCAAGGACTCCACTCCTGTCGGCCATCTCCTCGGGCGCAGACTCTGAACTGATAATCAACATTGGGGTCTATGTGTAATACTATGAATTCAGTTTCAGAGCCTACATATACATCCTCAAAATGATTTGAAGTACATTTACGGAACTGGAGTCTGTAATCTTGGGCTGTAAAGTCGTCATCCACCTAAGGAGAAAGGCTTTATGTTAGGTAAAAATCAGAGAATAACTTCTCTTGGCATTATTGTTTAAGAACTTTGAATGGGGGCATTTTGGGCCCAGTATACAAGCCTGTGGGCTGAATACACTCAGTATAGGCCATTCTCAGGAAGGTCATAGGAAATATTCTGCTATTATTTCCCTTCTTTTCTTTACTGAACCATGTGTTTGAAACTTTTCAGTCTGATATGAAAAAAATCTGCTTTCTCTGATGAAATGGCAGGTTGTCTACACAAGAATCCTGAAGATTAAACACTTAAAAGTTCAAGGATAAGAATCCCACAACTATATCACTCATATAATAAAGAGAATTAATATCTAGAATATATAAAGGACTCCTAAAAATTAATAGATCACCAACCACCTAATAGAAAAATGGGCAAAAGACATGAATAAGCATTCAATAGAAAAAATATAAGATGCCAAAAAATACATTAAAATAGTCAATCAAATTTATAACACAGAAAATGCAAAACCACAATCAGATACCATATTGGCAAGAATATAAAGTGTGATAATGCCAAATATTGGTCAGTATGCAGAGTTAGAGGAACTCAGAACTGCTATTGGTATAATCACTTTGGAAAGAGTTTGGTATTACCTAGTGTTCATCTAATACTCTAAGACCTCATAATTTACAGGTAGGTATTTCAGGAAAAAAAAAAAAAGTTACATGTGTCCACAAGGAAACAATAACACTTATAGCAAAAAGCAAACAAAAAAAATGGAAACTGTAAGCCCAATGACAGGCAAAAGTAAAATTGGAATAAGAGTCCTTGTTTTAAACCAACAAAAGGATCTCTATTTCTCTATATCAAGCCTTCATTTTTTTTACAATTGCATTTAAGAACAGTTTCTCATAGCTGAGCACTAACCTCTGAATGATGTAAAGAGCCAAAACACTATGAATCATGTGGATATAATTTCTATCTAAAATATGATGGCTCACCTACATAACTAATTTAACACAAAAAAATTTCAGCCACAGTGAGTGTGCGAAGAAACCATTCTTTAGATGTTTTATTCCATAGATATTAGTTTGAGTGTTGAGCAGAAAAATATCAGACACCAATATTCACTATCATCATTTGACTTTTCTAATAAACAGGAGTGAGAGCAAGCCTCAACTCATTAAGAATTTAAGTTTGGGAAACAATGATAGAGTGATTTTAAAAAGCATCTTCAGCCCTGGCTGGTGTGACTCAGTGGATTGAGTGCCAGCCTGCAAACCAAAGGGTCACTGGTTCAGTTCCCAGTGAGGGCACATGCCTGTGTTGCAGGCCAGGTCCCCAATAAGGGGCATGGAAGAAGCAACCACACATTGATGTTTCTCTCCCTCTCCTTCTCCCTCCCTTCCCCCTTGTCTAAAAATAAATAAATAAAGTTTAAAAAAAAAAAAAAGTACCTTCAAAACTGTTTATCTCAATCTGGAGGAGCTACCTCAGTTCAAGTTTCCTGTGACTTTATTTTAATTATATAGCAAAAGGGATTTTTGTTCACGAAGAGAAGAAAATATTCAAAGGTAGTTACTTTAAAAAAACTTAAGGCCCCCAAATCTCAAATCCATAATGTTGAAGCCACTTTACAATTCTCAATTACCTACCTTACACCACCGCACGAGGATGCCTCCCGGTTTCTCTATCAGTTCTTCTATCTGTACTGGTGGGCGAGATGCTACTGTTCCATGCTTAAAAATGTGGTCTTTCACTATGTTAAGAATTGAGTCATCCAATTGAGCAGATAAACAAGGCACATCAACCAGTAAAGGCACTTCTGGTAAGCTGAGGAAACAAAGCTCAAGTGTTTATGAGGCTTTTAACTGCGTTAAAAATAGAAGGAATACTTTAGATCAGTCACACACTAGAGCGTGGAAGTTCCCAGTAAATAATGCTCATGGCAGTGGGGGCTTTGCAAGACATTATGCAAAGATTCTCTTCCCAAATAAATATAAGCAAAAGATAAAAAGCTGGTAGCATCACAGTTGTCGGGTTTAGACCAAATGATCTGTTTTACTGAGATATGACCCCATTTCAATGTTATGTTCAAATTTTTTAAAACTTAACAATTATCTTACACATCAGAATTGGAGAAAATCTGTAATAATACTATACCAAAGATTACAATCACAACTATTTCATATTAGTATAATTGGTAATGAGCAGTGAGACCTTGAAAAATATATTCTGTATCTCCCTTAATCAGAATCTTTTAACAGGGTGTGGAAAAAAGGCAGATAGTTTAAATGCTTAAAAGTTAAGCCCCGAAGGCACTAACCCTCTTACCTGTCCAACTGAATGTGTGAGGCCTTTTTGGTAAAACTCCACAGCTTTTCATTCTGTTCTCCTGCACCACCGTGAATGGCAACTTGACCTACAATGAGAAGTAAGAGAACTAGTACAGTAGAAAATGGTCACGTTGTAAGTAATCAACACAGTCCGTGCCTGGGTAAGTCTCTGGTTTTGTTGCTAACAATTCTTAAGTGATATCACAATCAAATTCCCAAAAAGTAAAGAGCTGAAGAAGGAATTAAGAAGTACAGATTGGTAGTTAACATAATAATCCTGGGGATGTAATGTACAGCATACAGAATACAGTCAATAATATTGTAATAACTATGTACAGTGCAAGGTGGATACTAGACTTATCAGGGGAAAACTTTGTAAAGCATATGATTGTGTAATCACCATGCTGTACACCTGAAACGAATACAAAATCATGCTGCATGTAAACTGTAATTGAAAAATAAAATGTAAAGTTCTTTAAAAAAAAAAATCCCCCAAAACTAGAAGTGGACACTATTTTAGAAGTGACACTAACGTTAAGCTCAAGAGGAAAAGGGGTGCATAATGGTGACATCTCGCCAAAAAACGTATATTCAGTCCTATGCAAGGAAATCTGGTTTGTCAATCAATTTTATGCAAAGTAGAAGACCCAGGGACTTTTGCCCTCTTTCTCCTATCAACTCCAATAGGAGCACGAGTAATAGGGCATGGGATCTTATAAAACCAAATGATACAGTAATGTTTTCCTAAAAGGGTATTATATATTAGATTAGAAAATATTCCCTGGCTGTTGTGGCTCAGTGTATTGAGTGCTGGCCTGAGAAGCAGAGGGTCACCGGTTCAATCCCAGTCAGGGCACATGCCTGGGTTGTGGGCCAGGTCCCAGTTGGAGGCCTGCAAGAGGCAACCACATACCGATGTTTCTCTTCCTCTCTCTCTCTCCCTTCCTTTCTGTCTAAAAATAAATAAAATCTTAAAAATTGGAAAAAGTTACTCAAGAGAATAAAATGTTATATAAAGGTGGTTAAAAAAAAAAAAAAAAAAAGGCCAACTTCTATGTCCTTTCACAGCCCTGAAGACCACTTCTTTTCCATCTGAATGCCCCTCGGAGTGACTCAAGTTTTCTGAGGCCACATAAGAGGAGCAGTGTTATGTCCAAAGGAAAACAGAGACACACTGAACACTGCATTAAAATCCTCAAAATTCCATCAATAAGTCTTTATCCCTTGGGAGGAAAAGTGAGGAGAGAGTCTGAAATTTAAAATATTTCTGAAGTATAAAAAAAATTGAAGCATCAGATGCTGTAAAAACATGTATGTGACTCGAAGGATTTTCTAAACTAAAAACATTTCTCAGTTCTCAGGGTGACGGGTGCACATCTATGACCTGTGTTGAACTGCTTCTGGGTTTGTTTCCAAAAGCAAAGCCTCCAGAGGAAAGACATTCTGTGGTTCTGCTAAAAAAAATTTTCTCAAAGGCACTGTGATGGTCAACAGCATATATGAACTTCTCACTGACAAGAAGACTAAAATATAATGAGCATGTCAATGTAACACTAGTACCATATTCTAAGTGGGACCAAAAAGAGGACTGATTTCCAGTTGAAGTGACAGGCTTGTAAGCCACACACACTTTTTATCCTATGATACCAATAGCGTTCAATCTGTAGAAGGGATGGTGTTCATTCATCTTCCTGGGTCTTTTTTCCCCCAAATGCCCTTTAAATGTTGGCATCCCTTACAATCCTACCGTCTGCTGCCTTCTCTTCTCGGGCTGCAGGCTGTCTCTTAATGGTTTTACTTATTTCCCTAGATTCAAATTTGATGTCTATGTCACTAACTGCCACACTGGTATCTCCAGGTATTATCTCTTCCCCTAAGCATCACACTCACCATTCCCAACTACCTCTTGGCGTCTTAAACACTTCAATGTCACGATGCCCCAAACCAAATGCCTAGGGACCCACCAAAGCCCCCCCACCCCCACCCCGGCCTCCTTCATTTCCTATGTCAGTAAACAGCACAATTTACTGACACACAACATCAGGCTGGTTTTGGTCATCCTAAATCCCTTTCTTTCTCTGCCAACCTATTTAATATACCCAGATAATCACCAATAATCAACACTTATTGATCAGTAAAATCATCAATAATTCTATCGCTGAAAAATCTTAAAACCAGCTGTACCTCATCTTCACCTATCACTGTCCTCATTATTTACTCTCTGGATTACTGCTGCAACTTTCTAATTAGTCTCTTTTACCTCCAGTCTTACAACCTTGAATCCGGTCTCCAAACTGTAGGCAGTGTCATTTTCTTAAATTGAAATCTGACTGTGTAACTCTGCTGCCTAAAATACTTCAGAAAGATCCTTAATACACCACTCACTTCACTCGTGATGTTACTTCTGCTTCCAATCATGCTGTTACCTCCTTTTCTTCCTTTGTCTGCTTGATGAATTTCTTCAAGCCTCTGTAGAATTCCTCCTACAAAAGCTATGGCACACTCTTCCAGAGTTAAGCACTTCCCCTTCTGTGCTCCCATAAGGTCTTTCGGCATGTATGCCTCTCTCACATGTGAACCACAAGGGGCAGAATTTTTATTTAATGTACCTGACAAAGGCTCATGGGAAGGAAGGAAGGAAGGAAGGAAGGAAGGAAGGAAGGAAGGAAGGCAGGCAGGCAGAAAGGCAAGATCTGGGCATGTTTCAACCAAAGTAATTGGCTAAAGACAAAAATATAACAACTACGATTTTAGAAGTAAACACTAATCATATTTCTTAACCTTTTAAAGACAACAATGGAATTAAATTCTATAAACCATGAACAATCTGAAAAATATTTTTTTATTTTCTTGAGAGAGAGAGAGGTTGATTTGTTGTTCCACTTATTTATGCATTCATTGGTTGACTCTTGTATGTGCCTTGACCTGGGATCAAACCTGCAACCCTGGCAAATGGGGACAACACTCTAACCGACTGAGCACCCAGCCAGGGCTCTGAAAAATATCTGAAGGCTCAAAATGACCTTAAAATTACTGTTTAACAGTGAATGTGATACTATCATGGAACCATTTGAGAAAAATCATTTCCTCCTTGTTTTGTAAACGATTATAATTAACACTTTAATTGCACTTACCCTGGGATATACCTCACTGTATATCTGTCATCCTATATTACAATCTGTCCCAAGGTAGGAACATCCTAAGCACCCCACAGATGGCAATAAGCCTGCCGGTATCCTGAGAAATCAGCATAGTGTCAGTGTGAATTTGCCACATTTAATAGGCTCCCTGGACTCCCACCTTCTTGGACCAAGTCCTCTGCAGTGGTAACTCCATGTTCTATGAGCTTCTGGCAGTCATCTAGTGGTTTAATGGCCTCTTGTTCAATGGTATCCACCTCTTGCAAAAGGGTCACCAATCGCTCATCCAGGAGCTTCCCAAGGGTTCCCTTTAAATCATTAAAATGCTGTTTGAGGACATCTCTTGTCTGCGATGCACTCTCTTTGATCTGAAAAGAAATAATATAAAAACTTATCAGAATCACTACAAAACGCTAATCCACAAGCAACATCTATAATACAAGGTACTACCCAGCCATCATCTTCTATTCACTGAAAAACCAAATGTGATTCACTGGCACAAACTTGCAGACTTCCATAGAACTGGCCTTCAGGTGAGAAAAAATGGGCCCAAACCCTGGTTCCGTCATTCACAAACTGTGTCAATGTGGTCCAGTTAATTAAGCATTCCATGCCTCAATTTCCTTCCAATATTCTCAAATGAATATACTAATGTTTACCTCATGGAGGTTGCTGTTAGGATTAAATAAAAGTAATATATGTTGCACTTAGTAAAACAATTGGCATACTGTCGTTCTCAATAAATAAGTGTTAGAAAGTATTACCTGCACAAAGTAGTTCTTGGCAATAGTACATTTCAGTAAAAAATACTTTGAACTTAGAAGGGGATTAAAATTCATCTTGCTGAAAATAAGTAAAGCAGTGGCAGATCAGAAAGCTACAATACAAAAAAAATCCACTCGTGGATAAAATGCCCTCATTATACCACAAGAAAACTAAGACTTTATTTAAAATCCAAAGAATCTCATAAGAGGCAGAAAATGTTGATGAAAAACACATCTAGGACAATGACTTAATCTTTTTTTGAGTCATGGTCCTCTTTGCGAATCTCAATGACAGGTTTATTGACCCACTTCCCAGAAAAATGAATTATCCATACCCTGAAGAAATGTATTCATATTTCCGAAGTTACAAATTCCCTTATACCCTGACATGGCTCGCTGCGAGCAGCAGTTCTGAGAGTTGGTCTGCAGAAGAATCGCACAGGCTGCCTGTTCTCATTCAGACTGCAGGGCTCACCCCGGACCTGCCGGGCTCACAAGCACACCTGTGCTTCTGCAGCTCCTACTTGGAGAAACAATGCCCTAGGTCCACAGGGTCAGATTAAGAACTGCTGTTCTCCAAGATACGACAGGAAAATCTTTACATCTCACCCATATTTTGAAAAATCAGTTGACTATACAGACACAAGATTTTTTATTTTTAAGAATACAGGTAACACACAACTCACTCCCTCACTTAAAAAGGACATTCTAACTATAAGCCAAACATTCAGTTAAATTAAAGCAAACACACTTTATTTTGCAAAATTATCATATAAGTTTCATATGACATGTTTACTACCCTGACCCCTGGGCTAACTTTACCTTAGAAAGAGCTTTTGAAGTCCAAGAAAAATCCACCAAGAAAGAATATATCAAAATATGGATAAAACACAATATTTCAACAATTAATAGAGAAATTTAGAGAACTTTCTATTTATTCTGTAATACTAAATTTAAAAGGCAAAATACACAATTATCTTACAGAAATGTTCACGACCACATAAAAACAAAAGATACCCCTGCCCAAGAGCAACAAATACCAAAAAAAAGGAACTATTTTTGATTGGCTGACATGGGCAGATTATGGAAACAATTTTTTCTCCTTTTGACATTAATGGAAGTTAGAATGAATGGTATGTGTGCAGTAATAGAATTCCTTAAATCATAAAGTGAGGGAGAAATCCTAATTTAAGTTTAATTATTAACCAATCTCTGTAAAGATACTAAAGAACTTCTACAAAACAAACCCAAGTCAAAGTTTTTTTGTTTGTTTTTTTAAAAAGGGCCCATACTCGACCTGGCCAGGCAGCTCAGTTGGTTAGAGCGTCACCCCAAAACACCAAGGTTGTGGGCTTGACTTCCAGTAAGGTCACGTACAAAAATCAACCAGTGAATGCATAAATAAGAAAAAAAAACAAAACACAACTGGTCTCTCTCTCTCTCAAAATAAATAGAGAGAGAGCACCATGCTCAAACTGTGCTTGATTTGGTTTATCACTCAGTTGTGGGATCCTTGAAAATAAGGCCCTAACATTCTAGCACTAAGCAAACAGATGTTGTTGAATAAAAATGAAGTTAATCATGTGTGCTTTTAAGACCTTATTAAAAGAACCAGAAACAGAGTATCTTATGATTTTGATGTATCACCTGGAATACTGTCAGAAATGCAAAAACTCTCAGGCTCCACCCAGAGGTACTGAATCAGAACCTGAATTTTTAACAAGATCCCTAGGTGACTCATATCTTACACATACCAGAAATAGATGAAGACAACAAGCGGGAACACTGTAATATAGTTTGCACCCCCATCACCAGGAGGAAATTCTGCAGTTGAACACTGTACCAACTAGGTCCTGTCTCACTCTTTAACGGATACAGCACACACAGGAAGTGCATTGGTTAGGTAAAGTCAATTTCCTCTTTAGAAAGAATTCAAAAGCTACTTCAGCTGTTGCAGGGCCTGAGTATGTTTTGTTTTTGTTTCAGAACCTCAGAAAAAGAAGGAAGTATGTGAACACAAAGCAATGAGGCCAGGGGAGGGAGAATCCATTTCTAAATTCACCTCCTGTACTTTCATTGTAAATGTGTTCCCTTTTGTTCATAGAACCCCAACAACTACTGTTTCAAACTTAATATTACCTTGGCATCATTTTCTTCTCCCTGAAACCCAGTTCAAAATGTAAAGCCCCGGTCACCTTTAGGCCAATCATGTAATCAAGTGCATTTGCTTATCTTTATAAAGCTTTAAAAAAATGTGGGCTTTACTGCTGAGTGAATTTGTTCCTATTTGATGTGGCACTGTGGTCCAATGTACTCAGGGTGGGCTCACTAATCTTCACAACAGCCCTGAGAGGTGAGTACGTATTGTTTCTGTTGAAGAAAATGAACCTAAAATACGTCAAATAACTTCTCCAAGGCTTCCCAATGCCAGAAACAGTCGGACTCCAAGGACCGTAGTCTTCCCGTGAGCCAATCTGTTTAGTTCTTAAAGATGCTATTTGAAAGAGTTCCCAGGTAAACATGTAAATTATGTACTGACTGAGTCACTTCCTGATATAACATGTATTTCTTGTACCTGCAGGAAGAATCCTGTGGTAGTCAACAGTCAGCCCCAAATGCTATCTAGCCATTCTAGGGCAAAAACCCAGGATGGTTTGTAACAAAGTAGATTTAAGAATATAAATGATACACAACTCAAGGTCTCAGAAAGGAAACTAATATACATTGTTTATCTTGATTAATAATATTCTGAACCAATTTTCCTCTTAAAACCTCTACTATACCAGACTCTACTATACCATCAACTCTAACCAAAAAAATTATAATAAAAAAATGTACTTACAAAGTTTCCCCTGCAGTTGCTTAATCCAAAAAAAACTATTTTTATACAGTTGCTATATCAAGAGAAAGGATAGGATAGGACAGAAGAGAATAGATTGTGTATTTCAGAAATTAAGTAATTGAAATCTCCTCTATCTCCTCTAAAACATGTATCTTCATGACTTTATAGAAGTAATTTTTATCTTTCAAGTATAATCTAAGAATTTATTTTCCCAATTGTTTTGCAAATAGGAAACTAAAACTGTTTTAAAATTAGAGACTGGCTTTAAACACCATTAGCTAACGTTAGAACATAGTAATCAAAAATAAAAGACAAAGATACAAAATTAGTCAACTGAAATTGAAGAAGTTAATCGAAATGTTTCTTCTGAGTTCATATGAAATGTACTGCATTAGCTATTTGTCTTGGCACTGACACCAAGACATTAGTCATTAAAAATAATGATAGTAATAATAACAATATAGTAACAGCTATCGTCTACTGAATACCTACTGTGTGCTAGGTATTTACATCCATGGTCTTATATAAATTCTACCACACCCCTATGAAGAAAGCATCTGCAGATGAGTAACATATGAGTCAGGGAGATGAACTTGCCCACATCATGTAACCAAACAAAATGGCAGATAATTTGAACTGTCTGATTCATGTATGGACTCATAAGAGCTGCTATATTTCCTTCTTATCTCTCTTACAATTAGGCTATTTTTAAATGCTTATTTGACAAGTTTCAAAAAGAAAATCTTTATTATATGATTTGGTAGTCCGCTAACATCAGTGGCCCCCAGTGAACCACGACTCCTGGTACTCACATCCTTGTACAGTCGCCTCCCCTAGGATAGAGGCTGGGCCTGTGACTAGCCATTCAGTCAACGTGCACAGCTACAGAGTGGAATTGATACTCTGCCAGTTCCAGGCCTCAGCCTTAAGAAAACCTGGCAACTTTTGCTTTGCCCTTTGGGGTGTCCTGAGTCACCATATAAGAAGTATGTCTGAGAGAACAAGTGGAAGGAGAAGGAGTGGGAAGGGCAGGAAGGAGGGAAAGAGAGAGATGGCACTGAGGTCCAGCCATACCAGAATTCCAACTGACTCCTGCAGGTTAACTGAGCACTCTATCTTGAACATTCCAGCCTTAGCTGCCACCTGATCGCAATTACCTGAGTGTTACCAGCAAACTTAGGAGAAATGGCCAATTGAGCCTCAATCAATCCCCTGAATAGCAAGCAAATAAAGTTATTGCTTTTTAAGTCATTACACTTTGACACAGTTTATGTAGCAACAAATAACCAAATCATATGATAAAACAAATGTTTAATTCTTGATTATCTGCAATAATGAATAGGGTACATATAATCAAGACCGCAATGTTTTTAAAATGTCTGCAAAATTACACTCATAACATTCATAAAGGCATTCATTCAGTATTTAATGAGATCTACTATGTTCCAGGAACTGGGCTTATAAAGATAAATAAGGCATGGTCCTGACCTCAAAAAACTGTCATTCTGGCAAAGGAAATACTTGAATGCACACATAACCATAATAAAATGTAGTATAATGTTCTTATGTAAGTGGGATAGCCACAAACTGCCATAAGAACTCAAAAAGAGCGTTCTGTTGGGAGAGAGTAGGAGAGAACTAAGGCATGTCACTCTGAATAACAATGATATTTAGTGGTATTATTATTACAGTTAAAATGAGTATTTATTAAGCACTTCCTATGTCCCAGACATTGTGCTAATCATTTTAAATACATTTCTCA